ACAATTATTCATTTTAATTATTTATGTAAGTTTGTGCTTATTTTACTTTTATGGATTTTATATAATTTTTATTTCCGTAGCCGACCTGTGAACCCACCGACCGTGACCTGAACCAGCAGCTTCATTTGTTTTTTATCAGTTTTTATCAGATGAACTTATTATAATCCATCAAACCTTCTCCTCGTGTTTCCTTCAGAGTCTCTCCGCCGCCTGACCGACTGTTTTCCACGTAAGTCGATGACCTCGTTACTGTTTTTGTTATTAAGACTTTGTCCCGATATGCAAATGAGGCCAGAGCCGGTTTGAATATTCATCAGGCTGTTAAATATTCACGACGTCCTGTTTGTTGTGGTGTAGAAGTGGGCGGGGCTTGTCTCTGTCGCGTTTACGCATCAGCAGCTCCTCATTAAATATTCAGCGAAGGCGTGACCCGATTTTAAAGCTAACCGCCTCCAATTAGTTCATTATTTTAAACATATGTAATAATAAAAACATATTTTACTGAGACGGGAGGACGTCTGTCAGATTACAGCAGAACAAATAAAGTTCTACTAAAACCAAACCATCAACAGGAAGTCGGATCCAAGCAGAACTTTTTACTCTTTTGAGCCACTTTGAGGCTGAAACAACAAACAAACCTGTTAAACTGAATTCATTCATTCAAGGAAAACAACTTTTTTTTCATTTTAGTGACCCAGTATTTCAAAATAAAAGCATCCCACATGTTTAATTTTGTATTATTGTGACCTGCAGCGACATGCGGTTCAGAAAACATCACTGGTTCACTTCATTTGAGCTCAAAGATGGAGATTTTCTGACCTTTGTTGTCATCTTTCAGGCTTTGTTGACCCGTGCCTCCACCCCGGCCTCCTCCCTACACAGTCCTGGCTTTAGTTTAACTTCAACTCCACAGTAAACAGAAAACATTCGATCTATTTGTCTGATATGACAGATTCTGGATCAGTGACATGATGAGAACGTTTCAGGTTTTTATCTCTAATAGTTCCTCAGACGTTGTTGTTCAGCTGAAAGTGGGTCGACGGTGGTTTTTGAAAACATTTATCCCAAAACGTGTTCGACATGTGAAGCTAATGTTTCACCGACGTCTTCACACAAACGTTTTATGTCGAATTAATTTAAACATGAACCTGAAACATTATAAACGTCCAGGTTTAAATCTGTTGTTGATGAATTTGATGGTTCCAGGTGACATCAGGACACCTTCAGCTCCACAGTATTGATCCTGATCACCAGATATTACTCATTGATTAGCCCCCCTCCCCCTCAGACCTCGGTAACCTGGCCGACTCCCCCCCTCCCTCCCTCCCCCCTCCGTTTACTCACCTATTCCCTACAGCCCCCCCCCCCCCCCCTCCCCCTCCTGCTGTCACTTCCTCCCCCAACACATCAAACCTTCTTCTTCTTCTCCTCCTGACAAAGCGTCGCCTCCTCCTCCTCCTCCTCCTCCTCCCCCGCTCCCTCCCCCGCCTGTTGTCTCCTCCTCCCTCCCCCACCACAACAACAACAACGCCTCCTCCCCCACCACCTGGTATTGTCTCTCCTCCATCACACCAGTGGCTTCACTTCGGTTCTGGTGGTTTCACTGAAGCCGGTTTCATTTCATTCTCATTTTTCCGTCTCTCGTCTCCACATCAAACCGTTTCTTTGTCTCAGAGCAGCGAGTTGTTTTGTTTTACGTGATAAATATTTTACATCAGAAGCAAACGAAGCCCCGAAAACATGACCGGAAGAAACCAAAACGCATCAATAACTTATTGTATTTTATTTGAATTTAAGATAATGTTGATGTGAAGTGAGACACGATGAGGCTTCATTCGTCCCTCAGTGAGGCGGTTCGCAGCAAAGACGTGCAGAAATATGGTGAAAATAAAATAGAAATAAATATTATTTAAACTTTTACACGTCTGAGAATCAGAACCATATCACCAGCACTGACATATATAGATATATATATATATATATCTATATATGTTTGTCAATTTGATTTAGTTTTGATATCAATAAACTATAATAAATACACATTAGTAGCGTTGTACAGATTCTTATGTGTGTAAAAACTCAGATATCAGAGAGAGGAAATAAGTTTGGAAACGGTTTTTAAAAGATGCAAAATAAATGCAGTTATTATTATTATTATCATTATTATTATTATTATTATTATGATTACAGATGAGATGAGTGGTTATTAATCCCACTGTGACGTCATTTGCAGCGTTACAGCAGCAACGAAGATGAAAAAAAAACTGTAAGAACATCAGCAAAAGTACAAAAAATCAAAAAAAATCTACATATACTGATTCTTCCAAATGATAAAAATAATCATATTACACGTGTCCATATACTGAAAAGTCCACGAGTATAAAGACTGGTACAGAAATACTTGTTTCTAGACGTTCTGACCCTTTGAACACGTTTCACTCTAAACTTCACTTCGTTATAACGACGATGAAGCTTCTGATTCTAATAAACAGAGACGAAGCTCAGACTGTTGGACACGTGGATAAACTGAATGTGATGAACAAAGACCAGGCTGCACTGTGTGAATCATTTAATTATATTTATGTTGTTTTATTTTCCTAAATGTAGAATAATTCTGTTCAACTTCTGAAGTTCTACATATGAAAGAAAATGCACAAAACAATGACGTGTATTTGTTTTATTAATGTTAAATACTAAATTAAATCAAATATAAACATTTCACAGCTGCTGCTGATGTCCTGCAGATTCCTTCATGTGTACAAACTTAAATCTTGTTCATTTTATTGTTTATTGAACCAGCGTTGCTCCGTTTTCTCTCTTTCTGTCAGTTTTTCTCTCTGTGGGATGAATCCTGTCTCATCTCATGAAGCAGAAATGAGCATAAACCGGCTATAAAACCACATCTCTGTGGGTGTGAGTCTTTGCCACTCCAGATGGAGGAGCTGTGAGTTCACCGTGAAGCTCCACTGCTGTCCACACACAGCTGATGAGGTTCCTCATGTTGGATTCTTCATCTCAGTGTATTTGTGCAAAACCAGCCTCCTGCATCCAGCTCGTGTCCGACAGCTCCAAGCTCCGGCTGCAGAGCTGGAAGCAGCAGCAGCAGCAGCGATGGATGCGACGTGTCGGCGCAGAGCGATGCCTCAGTCTGATGAGAAAACACCGAGGAGGAGGAGGAGGAGGAGGAGGAGGAGGAGGAGGAGGAGAGTCTGAGGGAGGGTCAGCCGGAGGTGGCTCCGCTCTGCATTCATATCTTCATTCATTGATTTTAAAGAACTCCACCAAGTGGCACAGAGCAGAGATAACAGGACCCGGGTCTGGGACGGGCTGCAGCAGTGCATCATGGGAGCAGGTAGCAGCGAGCGGGACGTCTGGCGGCTCGTTGTTGTGATTCAGGAGCCAACGTGGTTCAGTCAGAGGCAGCCTGAGCAGGGAGATGAAACCATCACCTGGATATGAAGTGGTGCACATGATGATGAACAACATGGATCCATCCAGTAATGTGCAGCTTAGAGACACCCAAAGGGTTTAAATGTGAGGTGTCAAACATTAATGTATTAATAACATATTAATAATATAAAGTGTTGGAACGACGTCCTTCAATTAAAATCTGAGCTTCGCTGGAGTTGTTAAAAAAAAAAAAAAAGGGTCAAATTCCAGCAGCTGGAGACCAAAACCCACCAGAACATGATGGAGAACTGTTTTAAACAATAACACTGATTATTATGGACATCAGTTATTTCCAATAATCTATATTTCTGATCAGTTCTGTTTACCGTCACCTGAGTCAGAAACAGAAAAACTAACCAGCAGTCAATACGGAGATATTATCAGTCAGACGTCTGAATATTAGAGTTTATGTTAAGTTAATAACGTTTTGCTATATTAGCTCTCTGTAGCACAAGCTAAGCAGCTGACTTTATGTTAAAATCATCATATTTTGCTATATTAGCACAAGCTAATTATTTGAGTTTTTGTTACCCTAATGACATTTTGCTGCATTAGCTTGTTGTAGCACTAGCTATTTAGTTGAGTTTATGCTAAGCTAATCATGTTTTGCTTTATTAGCTTGCTGTAGGACCAGCTAACTAGTTGAGTTTATGTTAAGCTAATATTGTTGTGCTATATTAGCTTGCTGTAGTCTAGCTAAATTGCTGAGTTTATGTCAAATTAATAATGTAAAGCTATATTAGCTTGCTGTAGCACTAGCTAGCCAGCTGACTTTATGTTAATCATATTTTGCTATATTAGCACAGGCTAACTAGTTGAGTTTATGTTAACTTAATGACATTATGCTGTATTAGCCTGCTGTAGCACTAGCCAACCAGCTAACTTTATTTTAAACTAATCATATTTTTGTGATATTTGCTTGCTGTAGCACAAGCTAACAAGCTTTAGCTTGGAGTTTATTTTACGCTAATATCGTTATACTATATTAGCTTGCTGTAGCAGTCGCTAGCTAGCTTGACTTTCTTACTACTGTAGGCTAATTATGCAGATTTTATGTTATTTTAATGTCATGTATTTAAATATTAATAATAATGTAGTAAAGTTCTAACCTTTGTCCTTCAGTTTGAAGTTATTCAGCGATAATTAAACCATTTTAAAAGAAAAATTAGAAATAATTTCTGTTATGAAACACTTATGTAGCAGTAAAAGTCATGTTTTAAAAATATATTAATATATTCATTGCATTGCTCAAAAAATACATGATTTATACGAACAGGGTGTTTGTTGTTGTTGTGTTTGTGTAACTTATACAGAAGTCAGATATAAACTTCACACAATCACATGTTTTCATTCATAACTTCAGATTAAACATCTATAAACGTTTATAAATGACAGTTTCTCATGATTAACAATCATAATTTAACTACAGATGCTGTTTAATCAGCAGTAAATGGTTCATTAATGATAAACTCATGTTCAGGTTGATATAAATGGTTAATGTGTGACGTGTAGATGAAACGTTTCCACCAAACCTTCAGTCAAACAGACAGTTTAAGGATTTTCATTTTTTATTAAGATTATAAATTTTTAACAAATATCTTCTGGAACAGTTTTACCCGGTGATATACAATTTATTAAGCACAAAAATACAAGAATAACAACAAAATATGTCGAGAATGGCTGAGTACTCTCTTTATTTTGGTTCACATAGTGCTCATGAAGCTGACGCATGTGGGGCTGATGACGCCTTTCTAAAACAAAAGGACTCCCAACTTCTTCTTCTTGTTTGTTTGTTTGTTTGTTTTTGTTTACAAAGTGGGTCTCACGAAACCAAGCAGAACCATGAACCGCTGCCCAAAGGCTTCCAGCAGCGACCACGATCAGAAACAACGGAACCACGTGGACCGTCCCCGGAGACCCGAACGCGTCGGGTCCGTGCGCCCCGAGTGCCACACGACCACGAGTCCGGTCCAGTCAGCGGGTCCGGAGCCCAGCCAGCAGTAGTGTGCGTCGGATTTAAGGCAACGGGAGTCGGATCCACGTCATCAGGGGTTCTCCAGAACCCACGCGTCTTATGGCACCACGTCTGTCCTTAAACTGCTCCTCTTTATAAATATCTGTTCTTTTTCCTGCAAAAATAAAGTGGATCTGGACCGTGTGGAGGGTACCGGCCCGGCTGCACCGCCTTCAGCTCCTCCAATCAGAAGCAAGCGCGAGTGATGTCACTTCTTAAGACACAAGTGAGCTCTGAGGTAAAACATCTGCATCATGCTGTTGTTGTTGTTGTTGTTGACACATGGATGGACCGGGTCAGAGAGCAGCACACAATCTGCACAGTTTAAATGTGACCGGTTCCTTAATGGACCTGCTTCCAGCCAATCAGAGAGCAGATTAGTGGGAGGTTCTGGAGCCCGTCTGGAACAAAGATGAGAAGCTCCAGCTCCAGAACATCTGCTGCTCCGCCCGGACCCGGTCACACACTTCACCGGAACCTCGTGAACAAGTTCTGGTTCTTACATTTAGCTCAAAGTGCAAGAAAAGAAACCAAAGTTCTACCGGTCGGGTTCTGTTCTGCTGCAGGTCTGTAAACTTTCTCAGGGGGATTCTTTGTTCTCTGAAGGTTGCGAAAGTGTTCCCAAACAAACGCTTGTGGGCTCAGCGCGTCCCAGCCGAGCCGGTCTCCAGAACAGTGTCGGGTCAGAACGCCACTATGGCCCGGGTCCAGGCGCCCAGGCTGGCCAGCGCCTGCTTGCTACAGATCTGCTCCAGGTCCGCCTGCCGGCTCAGCAGCCCCGAAAACCCCGAACCGAAGATGGAGATCAGGTTGGAGATGTTGGAAGTGTCCGTGTAGTCCGAGAACGCGCAGTCCTCGCGTTTGGCCCGTTTGCGGGTAAAATCCGGAACCTCGTCCACGTCCGAGACGCAGCAGCCGAACTCCACCTTCCGCTTCTTGGCGGCGGACTGCGCGCCCTGGCCGCAGCAGCAGTCCTGGTGCAGGTAGCCGTTCTCCACCGTGGTCACCACATGCGTGTCCAGGTCCAGCACGGTGGTCTTGTTGCAGTGCGCGCCGCTGCCGGCGGAGAACGGGTCGCACGGCGCCGCCGGAGGAGCCTCCATGCAGCAGCTCCGGTAGTAGGACGGCTCCGGGTCTTTGGCGCCGTCCTCCAGCGGGCAGCAGCCGCCGGACACCGCGCTCCCGGTCCGGCACAGCGCCGCCGGCTGCGCCGCGCCTCGCTGGAGCGCAGCGCCGCACACGGAGCCCTCCTCCCCGCAGCAGGCTGCCCGGCTCTGCTCCTCCTCGTCCGCGTCCTCCGCGTCCAGGTCCAGCGGGTTGAGCTCCTGGATCTCGTTGCAGACCGTCATCACCTCCTCGTACTGCTGCATCCGGTAGATCTCCGCGTACTTCTCCTTGATGTAGACCTGCCGCGCGTTCCTCAGCACGTAGGACACCAGCAGGTTCTTGTGCAGCTTGATGCCGCCGCGCTGCGTCCTGGAGTTGTGGATCTTCATGAGCGAGATGGAGATGAGGCTCTGCGCGTCCACGCTGCACTCCATGGTGCTGATCATGGTCCGCGTCCGGCTCCTCTCTGGACGGAACCGACTCTCAGCGGCTATCTGAGCGCGGTTCGGTGTGTCGGAGGGTTCGGCTTCAAGTCAGCTCTGTGGAGGAACATCGGCCTGAGCGACCCGCCTCCTGCTGCACCCAGCAATCATTTGCAGATGCCCTGAAACCAGAAGGCATTTATAGCGCGGCTCCAGAGCCCGCCCCCCGCCGCGGCAGCCAATCAGCGGCCGTGGCTCCGCTGACTGACAGACAGGCGGCCTGGAAATATGTCCGTGTGAGCCAATCAGCGTCCGGCGGTTCCTCTGTACTATTCAAATTCCAGCCAGGCTGTCGAACAGGAATGTCCTCATTTCTGCTGCCTGGAGCTTCCAGAAAGCAGCCAGAGTTCCGAGCAGAGCCTCCTGCGAGTTCCAGGCCGGAGCGAACACAGGGCGGTGTGAGGAGGGCTGGTCCTGGTCCTGGTCCTGGTTCTGATCCTGCAGCACAAACACAGAGTTTAGCTGCTTTTAAAGCCAAATTTACTAAAAAAAAAAAAAAAAAAAAACTGAAGCAGACATGAAGAGAAACAAACAGAAGCAAAAAAGCCAGATCATGAAAAACCTCCAAACACGTCGATTTAAAGCCAACAGACGTCACAAAATCACTAAAAATGGTTCTGATAGAACATTTAAACAGTGAAATGAGAGCAGGAGGAGGACTGCTGGGGCTGGGCTCAGCTTCAGTGTCTAACGTTCTACCTTCACCTCTAAACGTTCTGGTTCCATTCAGCCAGACTGAGGCTCCGGACCGTCTGCAGAGTTAAACCCACAGAACTCGCTGCAGCCTGGACAGAACCATGTGAGGTGTGTTGGGCATCCAGGTCCCTCAAACCCAGATCCCACGACATCATCCTGAACCGAAGCCCGGTCAGGAGCTGCAGACGAAGGCGTCCACAGATCAGCGCTTCTGTTTAGTCACTACGAGTGGGCAGATAAAGGAGAATAACGCCGGCATTAATCAGGAGCTGGAGATAAATATAGAGCGACTGAAGCCCATCCTGAGCGTTTATGGACGCAGCCGATGCAGAAACACCAAACGGCCACTAGATGGTGGATCCCAGAACTCTCAGGAACACAGTGTTTCCTCTGAGTGGGACCAATCTCAGGTACATTCAACTCATATGTATTTATATAAAGCACCAAATATGTCATCTGAAGGCACTTTGCATCAGAGTTTATACAGAGAAACCCAACAAAACCCAATATCTCCTGTGGATTCAGTGGGTTAGGCAAAAATAAAAAAACCTCCAGCAGAACCGGGCTCAGGTTGGGTCGGACATCTGCCTCAACCAATCAGGGTGAGGCTAAAGGGAGAGCAGATAGAAAACAGACAGACATAAGAGGCAAATGCACGTTTTTCCTGCATTTTTAAGGATGCAGCGTCTGAAAAACTGATGCAGGAACTCCTCCAGACCACTAGATGGCGTCTTCAAGACTCAACAGCTTCTTTCTGGAATTAAAAAGTCAGTTTTTGCTCGATAAGACATTTCTAGAAGACAACATACGTCATCTCAAGGTTTTTTATAGAACATTTTAGACAGAGAAAACCAACAAAACGCAAAATTTAATCTGGATTTACAGACTTGGACAAAAACACCTTCTAGCAGCACCAGGCTCAGGTTGGTCGGACATCTGCATCCCCTGGTCGGGGTGAGGGCAAAGAGAAAACAGTGTTCCTGTATTTTATGGAGGCACAGACTGAGCCACTAGAACCCTGCTGGCCACCAGATGGTGGCTCCAAAAACCATCTGAGCTCAGTTCATTTCATTTTATTCACATAAAGCACCAGATTCACAACATGGGTCAGATATCAAAGCAGTTTGTTTAATTCTACACAGAGAAACCAACAAAATGGTCTTTGGTTTCTCTTTAAGCAGCACTTGGCCGCAGTGGGGAGGATAGAACAACCAGAACCGGGCAGAACCGGGCTCAGGTCGGGTTGGACGTCTGCCTCACCTGGTCGGAGGAGGTTCAAGAGGAACAAACGTAGGAGAAGAAGGAGGAGTTTGGAGGCTGCTGAGGACAGAACCTGCAGATCAGAGGAGACGTGAAGCTTCATGTTTCTGGTGGAAACCTGAAACAGAGTCGACGTCTGGACCGAACCGAGCTTTTCTGACTCTAGGTGGCAGTGAGCAGGACAAACCCGCCACAAACTCTGGGACAGAACCAGAACCTAACATGTATTTTCCTCCCTGAACATCCTGTAGCTGCTGATTCTAACGGCGGTGGGATGAATGATGAATGGCAGAGTGTGAACCCGGGTCTGATCCGGTTCTGAGTCTCCTCCAGCAGCAGCAGCAGCCAGCGGCCTCCTCACATTAATTCCAGGTTCAGATGTTTGCCATGAGTGCAATAACCTGTGTTGAACCTGTAGAGGCCAGTGCAGCACTAGTTTTCTGCCCTGTGTGATTAGTGCTTTGTTACTCTCCTCCACATTCCCCCTGTGAGCTGGGCCTGGGCGTCCTGCAGCCGCACGGCGCAACAACACGTTTGTTTTCACGCCGGATCGAGCACGAGAGCGCCGGAGTCTTCCCGGGTAACGGCGAGAACCGAGCCGAGGGACGGCGCCAAGACGTAGCGCTCCCCCTGAATGATGAACGCGTGACACACACTCATGGTTTCTTCCAGAGGAGGTAGCTGTTTGCAAAGAGGAGCTGACCCAGGAGGCTGTGCAGCCGGCGCTGGAGCGGCGCTGCCTCGGTTTCATAGAAACAGAACCGGAGCCACACGTGTAAACCGCTGCTGCACATCCATGTAACAGCACTGGTCTGAATCAGGAAGCTGGTTTTGTTTCACACAAATTCAGCAACAGATAAAGAAAGGAAGCGAAATGAAGCTCTGCAGTGGCTCAGAAAGCATCAGCTGCCTCCAGAACCGGTTATCTGGACCAGGACGGGTCGGACAGCACCACACACACGGGGCCCATAAAGTGTTCAGCCTGCTCCAAAGTTCCCCCTTTATCGCTTTTAAACATGAAATGTGGTCGATTTAGTTTGTTCATTTCAACAAGAATTTACAAAGAAAAAGTCGTTCAAACAGATTTTTACAAAAAGACGTTAAAAATGTAAAATAAGTGGTCGCAGCAGTCCTGTTGGAGGTTTTCAGTTTTTCTTTAAGGATTAAATAAAATAATAAGAAGAATAATTAAAATGTAAAATAAGTCGTATAAAAGAAACTGCCCATGAACATAAAACTATCGTCCCAAAGTGAAGCACGGCGGCGGCAGCATCATGATTCAGGGTTCAGCTAGTGCTGCTGGGTCTGCAGCAGTAAATGGGTTATCAGGTTTTCTCCAGATTAACGTCAGGATGTCGGCCCACATGAAGACCACTAGTTGGACGATGCAGCAGCACAAAGACCCAGAACATAAAAGTACAACATCTATAAGAATTAAATCNCTAGTCTCCTTCTTGCTGTTTGTTCTTACCCTCATCACTCCATAACCTTAACCACCTGTTTATTTATGTAACTATGGTAACAAGGGTTCTAAACTTACGAACCAGTCTCCACAAACTCCTGCTCACATACATCTCAGTGGCGTTTTAATGGAAACAGATTTTCTGCTGGATTTTGTTTGTAACGTAAAACAAATGTTTTTTTAATCATCGTATCTTTTCCTTGTATTTTAACGCTTTACTGCCACATTATTCAAATCATTTAATCATATATTACACGGGGCAGGACTCGTATTTTAACAGAAACCCTGAATTTGTCCAAACCAGGAAACAAGTAGGAACCCGGATAAGACAGATGTAATTCTCAGGCTGAAGGTCTTCTGGGTTAAAGTCTGGTTAATGCCTCAGAACTGAGACTTTGCTGCTCTTTCCTACAACATTGTCAGGAATGGCAGGTGTTTCTAATCATCATTAGACTTCTTCAGAACGTTACAGGAAATGCAGTTTATTAATGGAGGAGCGGACAGTGTGTTGAGCTCCTCCAGAGTTTTCTTCACCACTCTCACCTTGATGTAAAGAATCAACTCCTTCAGCTTCCTCCAAACAGCCGACGGCGCTGCGTTGACGTACGGCTGCTGTTTCCTCTCCATCAGTAAGTTCATTCCGTTTTATCCATCAGCGTAACGCAAACATCGCAGCATCGTATGTAAATGTCTCGTCAGAGAACAATGACAGCGAGCTTTATGGCGCTGGCCGGATCATAAAGCTCCTATAGATTGTACACAGGCCATCAGCAGGGTGTTATCACATCATAAATCTGCTTTATGATGTGAGAACACTGAGGGTATTTTTAGGCGCTGAAATGATTTAGTTTCGGGCAACGCTGTTGTTGTTTAGTTTGAAAGGACGACTTCCTTTAGCTTCATCTTTGTGGTCACAGTCATGATTAAGTGGTGTATGGAGCATTATGGTATGGCTTGTTGGAAACAGTGAATGAGGAGATGTTAGTAGGTGTTACATCCAGTGTTCTGTCCCCCCGTCCATCCGCCCCAGTGTACGTTTGGTTCCACTTGTTGTGAAATGTGTCTCCCAATAGAAACGCTTCTTCAGCAGCTCGGAGCCAACGAGTCCTTCGACCCAAACAACCAATCAGAAACCAGTTTTTATTGGCTTACTTTTATGTGACGTCGTCTGTTTTACTGTTTGTATTTTTCTGTTTTGCTGGTTTTTATTTATAAAATCATGTCTCCTGTCAGCACTGAAGCTGTCCCGCGGTTCCACCGTCATTTTTAATAAACGACGTTTAAAGATTGTCTAAAATAATTTTTCAAGATGGCCGACATTTCCCATGTTTAGTCCCACATGTTTTAACACAACGACCTCGTAGAGCGATTTGTTTGGTTTAAAAACCCAGACAGTCAGAACCGAGACAGTCTCAACCAAGACAGTCAGAACCAAGACCTTCAAAACCAAGACAGTCAGAACCAAGACCTTCAAAACCAAGACAGTCACAACCAAGACAGTTAGAACCAAGGCAGTCAGAACCAAGAGAGTCAGAACCAAGACCTT